CCTTAGTAAGCATGCGCCCATGCACTTACAAGCTGGATGGACTCAGGCATTGGAGTTTGAGTCCTGGCTTTACTTCGTAAAAGCAGTAAAATCTTTCTGAGCTTTAGCTTCTTCATCTGTTCAAAAGGGTCCCCTTGAAGGGATGGTAGTTGGATTCCAGGAGGTAAATGTCAATTCCTTCCTTTGCCCCTCCTCTGTTAGGGTCTAAGACAGTGGTTGGCAAACACATTAGTCAACAGAACCAAATATCAACAGTACAACGATTGAAATTTCTCTTGAGAGCCAATTTTTTTAAACTTAAACTTCTTCTAATGCCACTTCTTCAAAATAGACTCGCCCAGGCTGTGGTATTTTGTGGAAGAGCCACACTCAAGGGGCCAAAGAGTTGCATGTGGCTCACGAGCCACAGTTTGCCGACCACAGACAAGTCTAGGACTCTGGGCCGATCAGGTTTTCCTCTCTGGAACATGAGATACTAATATTTTGTCTCCTCAGCTTTTTTTATTTTATTTTATTTTTATTAAATTATTATCTGTGTACATATTTTAACATTACCCCCCCTCCCATACATACCCTACCTCCCCAGAGTTTTGTGTCCATTGGTTGTACTTATATGCATGTATACAAGTCCTTTGGTTGATCTCTTATCTCCCCCAGATCTCCCTACTCTCCCTGCTGTAATCTTACAGTATGCTTGTTGCTTTACTGTCTTTATATCTGACTTTTGGTTTGTCAGTTTATAATGTTCTTTATTATCCATGAATGAGTGAAGCCATGTGGTATTTCTCTTTCATTGACTGGCTTATTTCACTCAGCATGATGTTCTCTAGTTCTATCCAGGTTGCTGCAAATGATGAGAATTCCTTCTTTTTTATGGCAGCATAGTATTCCATTGTGTAGATGTACCATAGTTTTTTGATCCAATCATCGCTGACGGGCACCTAGGCTGTTTCCAGATTCTAGCTATTGTAGATTGTGCTGCTATGAACATAGGGGTGCATATATTCTTCTCAGCTTTTTTTTTTTTTTTTTAAACCTTACCCAAGGAGATTTTTTTTACATTGATATCTAGAGGAAGTGGGATGGAGGAGAGGGGGACAGACAGACACGAGAGACACACTGATTGGTTGCCTCCCCCATAGGCCCCTACTGGAGCTGGAGAATCTGCAACCAAGTTAAGTGCCCTTGACCGGAATGGATCCTGCAGCACTTTCATCTGTGGACAATCTCTAACCACTGAGAAAATCAGCTTCTTTTTAAAATCTATCCCAGCACTACTCCTTTATAATTATAATCTTCCCTTGTGCAATGTGATTCATTACAATTAATTAGATCATTGTTGATTGTTCTTTAATTACAGTTTAATATCCTTAATGGGATTTAGAAGATGCTGTTGTCTTATCAGCAACACATTTATTCATTTTTTAATGCAAATAATGAAATCTAATGGTTTTTCCTAAAGGCTTCAGCTTTCAAAAGGATATGGGTATGTCCCTGATTACTTCATGAAGGTAGGGCCATTTCATTTTGCATTAGAGTTTCATTCATATGTTAGAGTTTCTGTTCATATTAATAAGTATAATTTCAGTACATTAATATTCAACAGCTTTATAATCTTTTAGAGTATGAATATATCCATTTATTCTCTAGCTGGTAAAGATTTAGGTTGTTTTCAGTTATTTTGCAATTATACCCAGTGCTGCAATAAACATTTTTTCCCTTTCCTCTTTTTTTTTTTTTTTTTTTTAATATATTTTATTGATTTTTCACAGAGAGGAAGAGAGAGGGATAGAGAGTTAGAAACATCGATGAGAGAGAATCGTCGATCAGCTGCCTCTTGCACACCCCCCACTGGGGATGTGCCCGCAACCAAGGTACATGCCCTTGCCCGGAATCGAACCCGGGACCTTTCAGTCCACAGGCCGACGCTTTATCCACTGAGCCAAACCGGTCCCTGTCCCTTTCCTCTTTGTGTGCACATGTGTTAGTTTCCCTAGCCAGGAGAGAAATGGCTTGGATATCTTCAATTTTAATGCATCTTCTCAGATGACATTCTCAAGTGGGGGCCACTTTGCAGCCCTACCCCAGTGTGTGAGTGGAGGAGAGACATTCAGTAGAAAAAGGAAGGGCTAAGGCTGGGAAAATTAACTAATTTAAAGAAAATCAGAAATATATCAGTAGGGTAAAAGGAATCTCTTGGAAAAGAAAGCTGTCAATCTTAGCTCTTCATTTTTCTTCTTTTAGATTAAGAATGAGTTTTCATTGAGCTTAAACAAGGCTTTTCTGACAAGTATGCTGAAAAATTTGATGAATGATTCATTACTTACCAAAGGAGAATAAGCAAAATTGAATGATTTCTTTATTTTTTCTAGGGCAGGTGAAATTTGAATAACGTATTATGAAGAGAGATAAGCATTTCAGTCCTACCATTTAAAAAAAAAGCCATTAATAACCTTCTTGTGTTATGTATTTTCATTTGGGATTGTAGTTTAGTTTGAACGTGGGTCTTCTGGGAAATATTAAACCATTCTAATTATGTAGCCAATCTTTCTACGAGCCAGGGTAACGCTATGCATACTAAAAAACAACAACAACAAACTTATAGTTTTGTTCACATGGATCTTTTAACTATGTCCTAATCATATCATCCCTCAGTTTCCCGCCAGTTTCTTTCACCTATTTTGTCCTTGTTCACTGTCTTGTTATAATATTTAGGAACATGTAATGGCCCAGAAACCTGTAACAAGGAAGAGGTCCACGGGAAGAGGGAGATCGGTGGTTTTAAGATGTTCCCCACATCCCACAAAGCTGTGCTGAGGGCCAGTCCTGATTCATACTAATCGGAAGAGGGAGGTGGGTGCTGTGTTTGGCACAGGCAGCAGCATCAGGAATTGGAGCCCATTCTTACTGCATTTAGTGAGCCCTCTTTTAAGAGAATAGGATCACTTATCTTCAGGGCCTTTTGCACACCTTGAATGGTCTGGGAACATTTGAAAACCCTTGTCTTTTATCTCTGGCTTATACACTCCGTAGGTGAGGTGACTCTATCAAGAACCTTTCCCTCACCCACCATTTCCTCTGTTTGGAACATACTGTCCTCTGATCTTCTCTGGGTTAATCCTATTCACTTTGTGGTTCTCAGACTTTTTGTTTTCAGGTTTCCTTTTTTCTTCAAGACTACTGAGGAACCAAAGAACTTTTATTTATATGGATTATATTGATCAGTATTTACCATATTAGAAATTAACACTGAGTAATTTAAAAATATTCATTCATTTTAAACAACAATACTTTGTTCATATAAATAATAAATTTTTCACAAAATAATTTTTTTGTTTTGGAAAATATGTTTAGAAGAGGCATTGTTTCACATTTTTTGCATGCTTCTTCAATGCCAGCTATTGAAGACAGCTAGATTATCTGCATAGGGTCTCTTGTGATATCACACATTATCTAGCCCCTGGAAAATTATATTCACTCCTGAAGAGATGAAACTGAAAAAGGCTGATAACCACTAAGTATTCTCATGAAAAGATTTTGACCCTAGAGGACCCCTAAAAAGATCTCTTTCTGCTCCTTGTGATTAGAGATTATGTGTGGTTTTTGTTTCCCATTATATTTTCAGCTCTTACACAAGGCCTGCCCTGTATTGGACATTGAGTTAATGTTTGAATAAACAAATGAGTGAATGAATTTGGATTAACAGACTTCTTGAATTCAACTTGATTGTGGATTTCTCTTAAAATATAAGACCTTGCCCTGACAAGTTTGGCTCAGAGGCTAGAGTGTCGGCCTGTGGACTGAAGGGTCGCAAGTCCGATTACGATTAGCAGCATGTACCTTGATTGTGGGCACATCCCCAGTAGGGGGTGTGCAGGAGTCAACTGATCAATGTTTCTCTCTCATCGATGTTTCTAACTCTCTATCCCTCTCCCTTCCTCTCTGTAAAAAAACAATAAAATATATTTTTTTAAAAATGTAAGGCCTTCTCTGAATTATGTTCTTGGGGCCTATACTCATGGCATGTTATTCTAGGCTCTGGCTATTCCTAAGACTGTTGCAGTGCCATTACTCTCTGGATCATCCACATAGCATTCTGCTTGTACTCTGTCTTACCCATTGTACCCCATTATAATTCTTTGTTTACCTGCCACCTCCCACCCTCAGATTCTTAAACTTACTGAGAATAGGAACTGTGACTCGTTTATCTTTTGAATCCTTTTCTTCATGCCCAACTCTGGGACTAGCATATCTTGGCATATAGTAGACACTAAAGCAATTGCTGAAAGTGGCACATTTTATTTGAAAAGATACATATGCTACAATTGCAAGTAAGTAAAAATTTTGACCCAAGAGAGATCATATTCCCAGTGCACAAATTACTGACTATTTCTGAATTGTTTTGCACATCCCTTTCTTATAGGGTATTCTGTTAAGTAGTCTGATTACCAAGAATCATGGTGCTCAGGTGTTGTCATGCATGGACACTTTTCAGCAGATATTTGAGTTATATATGTTTGCCGAGTACTGTGGTGTGTATTGAGGTTAGAGCTGTAAACAACATATACTTGATCCCTGCCCTAGGACATATGGTCTAGCAATCTGTTCTGGAGTCAGCAGACTTTTTCTGTGAAGGGCTGAATGGTAAATGTTTAGACTTTGTGGGGAATATGGTCTTGGCTATAAATACTCACCTCTGCCGTTGTGGCCCCAAAGTAGCCCCAGACACTACGTAAACATGGAAGTGGCTATGTTCCAGTGAACTTCATATACAAAGCAAGATGTAGAACAGATGTGGGCTAGTGGCCATGGTTTACTGATTCTTGATCTCTTTATTTGTTTATTGGTCTATGTCTCTCACTCATATATCCACAACTGAACATTTCATGTTTTCAGTGGCTTATTTGCTACAGTTTGCTAAGGTGAGATTGTTGAAGAACTTCATCTCATGGCAAATTACTAAAGCTAATAGTTGTTATTTCCTTTTACTCTCTTACCAGGACATTTTATTTCCTTACATCAAAGAAAATGTTAAAGAGTATTTGCAGACACATTGGGAAGAAGAAGAATGCCAGCAGGATGTCAGTCTTTTGAGGAAACAGGTTGGGACATTCTATTCCATTGCTTCCACATTCCCAAGTATTTAGAAATAAAGATGCTTAGAGACTCATGCTCAAGCCCTTCCTGGGTGGAATGCAAAAGGTTTTACACTGTCTTTTCACATTGTTCATGAATGTCTCTGAGAGAGAGAGCACCTCGTCACCTCATTCTCTACTCTCTTCTGCCTCCTGGCATGAACCCCGCTGAGCCCTGCACAGTGCTTGCGGGCCCTGATATCTACACACCGCCTCCAGACCTCTTACCCCAGCTCGCACTTGGCTCAGTCCTCATATCTGCCTCTCTCTTGTGCTCTGTTCTCTGTTCAGTTTTCAGTCTGTATTTTTCCCTTACAAACTGTGTGCCATGGCACTCGTTTTTTTCTTAATTAAAATTGCTTCAGTGGCAAAGATCTTACCTACTGTGCAGAGCTAACTCTGTGGCACTTACTTTCTAGTTAATTTTCTACTTTGAACAATGTAGAATGCACTCTGAAGTTTTTAAGGTTATTAGTTAGGATTGGAAATATAATCATATTCTTTGGGACATGGGTATTTGAGTTTGTTAGATTTTCTAGATAACTCCAGGTCAGCCTGAAACACCTCCCCTTACCTTTTTTGTTGTCTCAACTCCTGTTGAAACATACGTACATTTCCTCGCTGTAGGATATATATCATCAAGTCCTTACAGGTTGGACATGGGTGTTATCACATTGTCAGTGATTCAAATAGCTGTTTGAGTTTTGCAAGATGTGACAGATGGCAGGAAACTGAATATGAAGCAACCCTAGGCATTATTTCACTAGCTTCTTTTCATTGAATTCCAGGCATGAACTGATTTAAAGGTTTTCTTGTATGTGTGTTCCTCCCCCACCCCACTTAGTTACAATGCAAAGAAAATGATCAGATTTCATTGAATCTTAGTTTGTTGATCCTAGTAAATGAATCAACAAACTAGGTCTTAACTGTATCATTTTATCATGTCCTCTCTTTCTTCTTACATACATGCCTCTCAGTTTAAATTTTCGCTTTAGCAATATAGGAAAGATCATGTAAATTATTAATTATAATCCACTAGAGCCTCGGTACATGAAAATTCATGCACTGGAGGGGGATCGCTCAGGCCAGCCTGCCCCCTCTCACAGTCTGGGAGCCATCAGGGGTGGGAGGCTACCCAGTGATCAGGGGAAGGCGACGCCCCCATCACACCTGCTGCTGCCACTGCCAGCAGCACAAGCCTTGGCCAGTCCTGGTTACCTTAGCCTCGGGCAGCCACTATCCGAGGCTTGGCTGTGCCTTGGGCCAGCCCTGAGGGGCTGGAGGGCTGCGGGGTCTGGGGGAACTCCTCTGGATCAGGCCTGTGAAGCAGCCGGATCCACTTGCAGATGGGCCTGGCTGTGCCACATGCCTGCCACCCCGACAAAGCTGCGGGGACTGGGCACCACCATCTCGTAGCTGTGGGTGCTGCCATCTTTGAGGGCATGACAGTCAATTAGCATATTCCTTATTGGCTGTGGGCGCTGCCATCTTTATGAGAGTGTGAGAGCCAATTACATATTCCCTCTTTATTAAATAGGATTTCTTTTGGGAATCATTCAGATCAGCACCAAAAAATGTAGGATACTTTAATTTGTAACAGTGCTTGGTGCTAAAGGTAGTTGGAAAAAATCAGTCAGCTTGGTTTTCAGGTCTAATTTTAAGTACTCTTTTTTTTCGAATAAGTAAGAAACAAATTCATGTTGTTTATGACTTGAAGGCTGAAGAAGACTGCCACCTGGATGGGGCTGTTCCGATCCCTGCTGCATCTGAGAACGGAGCAGATGACTCGCAACTGATGATCCAGGCCGTGGTGGATAACGTGTGCTGGCAGATGTCTCTAGACCGAAAGACTACGGCACTGAAACAGCTGCAGGGCCACATGTGGAGGGCAGCGTTCACAGCAGGGCATGTGAAAGCAGAGTATGTAGCTGCTCATGGGACTCTGAACATTTTATCAGCCCCAAAACCAAATACATCTTCCACTAGTCCTTTTCTCCAGTGTTGCATGATTAGTAAAATAGATAAAATAAAATTCTTTTAATTCTAACAAGTGAGTGTTTTGTTTTTTCAAAGCTGGGATAAATCCTCCAAACCTGATGTTTGGCTTGGTGTGATGGTTGAAGGACTTTTAATCCCACTTTGAAAATAGCTTCCTAGGAAATGGTGACTTTCTTGAACTAAGTCAGATCTGATCCTTTGCTGAGCTGCTTCCCAGGACCATTGGATGATCTGTTTTCTGTTCTGTTAGAGAAGTAAGAATTCTGTAAAATTCTGTGCCCCGTTGCTTTGGGGGTTACTCAGTGTCAGCAGTGCCACTCATTTCTGTGCTCTTTTGAGCAATTTCCACAGACTCTTTGTCTTGATTGTGGAGTTCCTGAGAACACTCCTGCTAAAGAAGTCCTGTGTTGCTGAAAATTTTTTAATAAGATACTGCCATATTTTAGACTGTTCCCTGATATAAACCCTAAGAGCCAAGACTGTTTCCAGCTGCCTATGTTTGTTTTGTTTTTTTGCAAATGAGATGCCATTCCTTTATATACTTTACAAGGGGCTTTCACCTTTTTTAAAATATACATATATTTTTTTAATTTCAGAGAGGAAGGGAGAAGGAAAGATAGAAACATCAATGATGAGAGAAAATTATTGATAGGCTACCTCCTGTACACCCTATACTGGGGATCAAGCCTGCAATCTGGGCGTGTGCCCTGACCGGGAATCAAACCATGACATCCTGGTTCATAAGTCGGTGCTCAACCACTGACATACCAGCCAGGCTGTAATCACTTTTGATTATCATAATGGGGCTGTCAAAAACTATTTTTCTCTCCACCCAAATTATTGCTTCTGATCTGTGTGATCCTGGAACTCCGTGACATACTTACTAAATCTGCAGATGGAGTCCCTTCTCGTGATGACCATTTGGGCACAAAGAGAGAAACTTGTGACAACTATTTTGACTGGTTTTCATCTGGCAACATAATGTATTCCTGCATTTTAACTTGATTTTCTGTCTAGGTTCTTTGAAGATGTAATTCCAGCAGTGAGGAAGTGGAGAGAGGCTGGAATGAAGGTGTATATTTATTCTTCAGGGAGTGTAGAAGCACAGAAACTATTATTTGGGCATTCTACAGAGGGAGATATTCTTGAGGTAGGTTACATCATAACTTTGTTCTTTGACATTATCAAAGCATGAAATAATGATTTTTAAAGGAATATGGTACAGTTATAAGCTAAATCATTATTCAGATAAGTGTGTGTGTGTGTGTGTGTGTGTGTGTGTGTATGTATGTGTGTATGTGTGTATGTGTGTGTGTATATATATATATATATATATATATATATATAGCCAAGCACATTGTAAGGGGAAGTGGAAAAACTGGGGAATACATTATAAGCAAGAGTGAACTGTTTCTATGTTAACCAGTCTTTATATCAAAGGTTCTTAAGCTTTGTTGCATAAGGATCACCTGGGGGGTGGGGAGAATCTGTTAAAAATATAGATCCCTCTGGGCCCTGCTTCCAAGCAAATCTGAACCAGCAGGCCTGGGGCGGGGAGTCAGAAGTCTGCATTTTTACACTTTCACCCTCAGTGGTTCTGTGACAGTGGTACTAGAACCATATACAAAATACAGCTAACAAGGCATAAGCTCTAGCTTGTAAATCAGCTATCCTGCCAGTATTAGGAAGTTCTCAACTGAAAGGAAACTAATGACATGCTTCTTTTGGTTGTTTAAAGTAGAGCAGGTAAAATGTAAAATAGTGGTACTTGCCACTATCCAGAAAACAAAAACAAAAAACAGACTTCTTGAATGGAGCAGAGTACAAGGTGGATTGATTGTTTCTGGTACTTTGGAGAGACAGATTTTACTTTAGCAGAGCCAGCATTCTTATGTAAGAGAGCTGGGTACATCATTAAACAATTAAAAGTTAAGGCCACCTATTAAATTTCTTGTTCATGAAAAAATTCTTGTTAGCCCCTCTGTTCTAGCATCCTATGCCCCCTGGGGAACAGGGTGGTCATTGGAAGGGATTCACTTAAGGGATTCAAAAAGAAATGCTAATTCAATATACACTGACCTCAGTGATACACAATAGGTCGCTCAGCTACCTAGTTTTAAAATAAATAATTATTTAGCAGCAAGGATATATATTAGTTCTTGGGTAGAATTTCAGAATGTTTTAATCAGAAAATGAAAGTAGAGTAACAACTTATTAATGAGGTAGGATAAAGAAATTTGTTCATTCTGGGGTCAAAAGGAGTGAAACTTTCGTCAGCAGTGAAACTCACTGTGTAGTAAGTTTGAGTACAAATAGTATTTTAAGGGTAGAAAGTAGGTCATGTATATTTTAAAAGATTTTGTATAAAAAATCAAGAAAAACAAGAAAATCAATAAAAAAGAAAGAAAAGCAAGTAGATTGTAAATTGACCTTATATATGTTGAATTGGTAGTTTTCTCCTTTCAAATGTTTACTGCTATAAAATCTTTGAATGTACTTTTTGTAGTCATCTCCAAGTTCTCTTGTACGTAGATTTTCAGTTATATATTGAGTGAATGAAATCACTGTGATTGTATATTTCAGAGATAAGGGATAGAGACAAAGTGGTCCAGGTTACTAGTATGTTTGCAGCATCAGTATTTCCCCTTCTCTTTTTTCAGCTTGTTGATGGTCACTTTGATACCAAGATTGGACACAAAGTAGAGAGTGAGAGTTATCGAAAGATTGCAGACAGCATTGGGTGCTCAACCAACAACATCTTGTTTCTGACAGACGTTACTCTGGGTAAGGAATCTGACTTCTTACTCCAGGATGGGAGCTGAGCTCAGCCCTGCAAGCACATTGCCTCTTCAAAGAAAGTTTAAGTGTGGACCTTTGAAAAGTGAAAGTTTTATAAAAAGAAACAATGAACCAGCCAACTCATCTTTCTCTCCATTTACACCTCCTTAGGAGTTGTGTGTGGGGAAGTGGCATTAGAAAGACTTAATTTCTCTCATTTCAACTCCTTGTCCTTAACCATCTGTACTTACACAGGTGAGATGGGAAATTAAGAAAGGACTTACAGGGTATCATTGTGGAAACGAGCATGCAGGCAAGAACATGATGGTAGGTGCATGGCTAGGTAAGGATAATAAGGTCACAGTGCATCTGCATCAAACATATTAACAGCAGTGAGATCACATACACACACTGAGCCGATAAAAGAGAAAAAGAGAACTCTAGTTTGAGTGACTTTGCCTTACAGTCATTCGATTGGTGCCCTGCCCTGGCGAAAGTAGGAGCCCCATCCCCGCCTTCCTGGGGACTGTCTCAGTCCCCCAGGCCTTCCAGATTCACTTGTTTAAAGACAGCATTTTCTTTACGCAGCCTGGCCCTCTTTATTTTAAACTAGGGGCCTAGTGTACAAATTCATGCACCTTAAAAGGAACTGTAGGCCACAAGGCTGCAGTGGGCACAGGGGTGGGTCTCAGCCCATCATCCACAATCCCGCCCAGCCCCTTCTGCCTCGGTCCCTGGTCCCCTGTCTGCCAGCAGCTCTGCTCCTGCCATCACCGCTCCACACACTGAGAACACCAGCTCCACTTTCACCCGCTGACAGCACAGAGATTGGAGCAGGTGCCAGCAGCCAGTGTGAGTGGTGCCTGCTGCCCATCACTGCTAAGGAGCAGGGGGAGGTGGAGAAGCCCTCAGAGGTGATTGGGGCTGGCAGTGGGTGCGAGTGGTGGCTCCAGCAGCAGCTGCAAGCCCAGCCCAGAGGAACTACAGCATGTGGGAGCAAAGAATTTTCAGTAACCCCCAGAGGCTCATCCTGATGACAGCAACCAGCGCCCTGCCTTGGTCTGGTGCCCCCATTCACCTGCTCCACCATCCTGCTGCAGCCAATGCCCACCATGTTTCCCACTCTGCTGCCTACTGCCAACGCCTAGATATAATAGATAGAACATTAGCAGATGCATGATTACTTTAAGGATTGAATGCACAAAACAATGTTTACTGTTCTTCATTGGCAATTTAAGTGATTTCAGGAGTAGTTTTGACCAAATGTAAAATATGTACTCAAGTATCTGTGTAAGACTGTGAGTCCTCTATGAAATTATAGAGGGAAGTGGTAGCCAATAAGGAAACAGGAAGCAGCAGGCAAGGGAGGGGGGTGTGCGGTGGGAGGGGGGAGAGGAGGAGTGGAGTCCCTGCTGTTCTTACTTGAAAGCCCCTGGTTGGTGAGGCTTTCCCACACTCCCCACCCTTGATTTTTGTGGTTATTTGTGAAAAGCCACCGCCAGCGTGGCTTTTGGGTTCAGAGGCTTGGAAAAAGAGCTGACGTGTAAATTAAAACACAAGAAATAATAATTTGAAATTATGGGGGGAAGCCAGGGAAAACCTAACTAGTAGTAGTCAAATTCCACTGAGTCTCCTTTCCCAGCTGCTTTTATTTACTAGAAACACAATTGACTTTTAGGAATGCAAACGGACATATCAATGGTAATGTTTAGTAAACAGTAAGATTATCAGTTTGTGAGGAGTTTGCTTTAGGCCATTCAGTTAGCAGCAGGTAATAAGATGAAAATATTCACACTATGAATATCAAAGGAGCCCAGGTCAGCCTTCTGATGGACTTCTTGCATTTATATTAATCATTGTTGATCTTGGTTTCTCCTTAGAGTCCTGCCTTAGAGCCCCAGGGGCTACCTTAGGTGTGTTTATTTTTATTTTTTATTTATTTTTTAAAATATATTTTATTAATTTTTCACAGAGAGGAAGGGAGAGAGATAGCCAGAAACGTCGATGAGAGAGAAGATGAGAGAGAAACATCGACCAGCTGCCTCCTGCACACCCCCTACTGGGGATGTGCCCGCAACCAAGGTACATGCCCTTGACCGGAATCGAACCTGGGACCCTTCAGTCAGACCGACGCTCTACCACTGAGCCAAACCGGCTTCGGCTACCTTAGGTGTGTTTATAATCACACTTGTATTTGAAGGTAGTTCTATATATTTATGTTTCTTCCACTCACCTTGGGTTGTAAGTTTCACACTCTGTTTACCCCAGAGCAGGGCTTTGTGCATTGCGCAGCTGCTCCAGCACCCGCCTCCTGCTGGAGAAGGTGGTTGGGGGAGAGGCAGAGGGCAGGGGGGTGCTCTCTTGCCTAGTCAGCTCTGTGTGGCTCCTGGGCCCCTTGGGGGCTGCTTCAGCACCTAGAGGCAATATTCCTCCCTTTATCCCTCTGTCTGTGTCCCAGACTAAAGCCACCCAAGCACTAGGACTTTCAGAGATGGGGCCCAAAGGCAAATCAAGGCTGCTGGCAAGGACATCTTACCTGTGGTAGTGTGTATTTTTTCTACTGCTGACCCTTGACCTTTTGGTCTCTTGTGTTAGGGAAGAGTTGTAGTTATATAACACATGCACGAATTTGCTAAGTGATTTTGGAAATAATCTTAACCAGCGTAGCGCATCTAGAATCTAGATGCCTTGAAGAAACTGAAATGTGTCTTTGGAAAAAGGGGTAAAACAGGCTTAATTTCACCTGACATACCAAAGATATTCAGTAATTGTTATTATCTTTGTTAAATTTCATGCCTTGGTGCATCTAGACTGGATTTTTTTTTTACCTAGTTAGACAGTATTTAGTGGGGATCAGCTGCTGTCCTGGCTTAGCTCAGCTTCAGAGTATAAGGGTTTCTACAAATGGTGTCTCATTTTCCCACATCTTGGAAAGCTTTACATTGGCATGAAGTGAGACAGACAGATGCATGGACACACTGCTTTAGGGTTCATGGTGTAACTAGGTAGCCAGGCCACTTAAATGTGCTGTCAACAAACATTTCACCTGGTCTTTGAACTGTAAATGTTGGCGCTTCAAAGCTACAATGTACCCTCTTCCTTGAATGATTTTTGGGGACTTTGAGTGGTGGAGTAGGGAGGTCACTTTGTTGTCCATATAGGTTAGGGATGCGCCAGCAGTTTTTGTGAGGAATGATAATTTCACTCCTTATTGAAAGAAGACAGACAGGCCTTGTCCTAGTGAAGTTTGTCTGGTTTAATCTGTGAATTGCTTTTCTTTGATCATTCACATAAAGAGGGCTATTGAAGATGAAAATTTGTGGTTTGTCCTCTATTTAATTTTCTTAGGACTTTGAATGGTTAAGTTTCTGCGGGCTTAGAATTAGGGATCTGATTTGTGGCTGGGGCTCTCCGTAAAGTCAGCCGGTCCAAGCATTCTGTGACCCCCAGACCCAATATTTCTCTCCTATCCTCCACCTTTTGGTTACTCTTAATAATTACAGCCCCTGCCCTAAGATCACTTACAGTTTTTCATAGTTTTGTTTTCAGCTACATTTTTTTTTTTTGTCTAGTTGCCATCGTAGTACATCTATAATTTCAGGTCTTCCTTTTTCCCTTAGCCCACATGTGTCAAACACAAGGCCCGCGGGCCAAATCCGTCCCACCAGGCCTTGCAATGTGGCCCGCACCGCGCTGTCATCACTGCACTCCGCTGCGTTTCCATCACAATGACAGTTTATGACTGTTCAGTAAACCATTCGGCCCGCGATTTAGGCTGGATTTTAGATTTTGGCCCCTTCTCTGATTGAGTTCGACACCCCTACCTTAGCCATTTCCTTTCCTTAGGGTGCAGTCCCCAAAATTATTCTTATTCTTTTTACAGACAAGAGATGATCCCCAGGTTGGCCTCAGGTTGGCCTCACAATGAAATTGATTCCCTCTCAGTCCTCCACAAAGAGGTTTTATTCTGCCCCTAGGCTTCTGCCAGCCCCACACCCGGTAGTAGAGCCAGAACTGGGCCCATCTGTAGCTGGGATGGGGCCAGGCAGCTGGCTGTCTGCCTCATTCTTGTCTATTATCTCTGATCCTGTGTTTTGGTATCATATGCCCAGTCTTTTATTGCCAAGGCAGAGAGGTGGACTAAGTGATATCCCGAATAATACCCAAGCATAAAAGAGAATTGAGCCAAGGCCTGTGTTTCTCAGTGGTTAGAGCGCCAGCCTAGGCACACAAGGGTTGCAGATTTGATTTCCACTCAAGAGCGTGTACCAGGGTTTCAGGTTCAATCCCCTTCCCTAGTTGGAGCATGTGTAGGAGGAAGCCAATTGAGGTGTCTCTCATACATCAACGTTTCTCTCTCTTTCTCCTCTCCTTCCCTCCCTCCCTTTCCTTCTCTCTCTTTTCCACTCCCTTTAATCCATTCAGATGTTGCAACTGTTTTCCAAAGATAAACAACTGAGGTGTTTTTTTAATTCTCACCCAAGGACATGCTTATGTGTGAATGTGTTTGTGTGTGTAATTTTAAGTTGATTCTAGAGAGAGAGGAAGGAAGAGAAGCATCGATGTGAGAGAGAAACATCAGTTATCGCCCTCACCCATAGGCACCCTGACCTGGGATTGAATCCGCAACCTAGCTATGTGCCCTCACCAGGAACTGAACCTGCAGTCTTTTGGCGTATGGGACAGCACTCCAAACAACTGAGCCACCCGACCAGGGCCTATAGCTACCCTGGTTTTAGAGCACAGACCACAGAGTCGGAGTAACAATTTCAAACTTTAGTTCTACCTCCCTAGCTCTCAGTTTCCATATCTGTAGAAAGGGTTAGTAATACTAATGACCTCAAGCCTGTTGTGAAGATTTAGATGAAGGTGGGAGCCTTGTTTTGTTCTGTTTCTAGAATAGGACCTGGTACCTGGTAGGTACTAAATTTACATATTAGCTGTTATCTTTCAGATGGGAGATACGTAACCCAAAGCATTTTAGAGATATTCCCTGCAATGTCTAGTTTTGCTTTACTAATCCTGTTCTTATTTCTACCCACTATGCAGTCACAGATCACAATCTATTGAGGGAGGGAAGTGACAACAGATAATAACTGTCACCTTTTGTTGTTGCAATAGAGCTAAATACAGGGTGTTGAAGGAACACATAAGTTGCTCTTAATAGCGCTCTGGAATATGAGTTAATTAAATTGAATTATAAAGACTAGGAATTTGCCCTACAGAAAAGATGGGTGTTTTAGTCAGGAGTTGTGATACTTTTGGGCTCTGATTGTGAGAGCCCAGATTTCAGCCTTATTCGTCCTAGATTTCTGTTCTTCTCATTTCTTCTTAATTGGTATTTTCCCTGCCAGGCTGCGCTTCGGGGATACAGCTCAGTTCTCTGTAGGACTAATGGGAGGGAGTGGAACAAAGGTGTGGACAGAACATGGCTCTGTCCTTCTGCATTCACATGTACTTAATAAAACTCAGAGGTCTGGATAGTTGCCATTGTAGCCTGTCATGTATAATTATTTATTAAAATTTTTTATTACAGAAAAATTGAAATGATGTAAAAGAGAATAATATAGTCAGCACCTATGTACCCTTCTAGCTTCAGACATTATCAGATCAGGGTCAAACTTGTTTTTCATATTTCCACATCACCCTGATTACTTTGAAGCACATCTCAGATCATATTTTTAAGTTTCTGGCATTCATTTTGATTTTCACAGAGGCCAGTGCTGCTGAGGACGCAGATGTACATGTAGCTGTGGTGGTGAGACCTGGCAATGCAGGGCTAACAGACGATGAAAAGACTTACTACAGCCTCATTACGTCCTTCAGTGACCTGAACCTGCCTTCCTCCACGTAGAGGCTATCTGAGGAAGACCAGCCGTCTCCACAGAGTCGCCCCTGTAGACTAGTTTTTTCCTAGTGGTACAAGTAACTTCCTTTAAACATACATATAAACACACGTATGTATGCATGAAAGTATATATGTGTGTGTTCAAGTTCTCTTCGTAGGCACACAAGTTTGGGGGGAAATCTCAGTTCAGTGAAAAGGAAACTAATTTAAAGATGCTTTGTATATAGAAATGGTTTGAAACCGCAACTCTCACCCTTATTGAGGGTAAAATGTAGTTGATAGAAGAAATTACTACAATGCAGATTATGGTTATCACATTATGGACCAAAATGGAAAGATAGGTTTGAGAAGTTATTCAGAAGCTTTGGTATTTTAAAAACTGGAAATATTTTCAAGACTTACCGTATTTTTCGGACCATAAGACTCACCGGACCATAAGACGCACCATTTTTTAGAGAAGGGAAATGAAGAAAAAAAGATTCTGAAACAAATAGTGTCCTAAAATATTTTATGTGCATTAAAACCCAACATCACAGTCATAAACACATGTAATCAACCCTGTAAAGCACATGTGTCAAACACAAGGCCCGCGGGCCAAATCCGTCCCACCAGGCCTTGCAATGTGGCCCACACCGCGCTGTCATCACTGCTCTCCGCTGCCATTCGGCCCGCGATTTAGGCTGGATTTTAGATTTTGGCCCCTTCTCTGATTGAGTTCGACACCCTACTGTAAAGTAAACAGCATTTAGAACCATTTTAGAGCCGGGCAAGTAAAAAAACTTTTTTTAAAAGGTATATGTGTAGGCTATATTTGGACCATAAGACGCAAGGACTTTTTCCCCCCACTTCTGGGGGGAAAAAAGTGCGTCTTATGGTCCGAAAAATACGGTATTTCTAATAGTAATTCAACCCCCCTTTTAATTATGAGTTAGAAAATTATTAGCAGCTGAATTTCAAAATGTTAGTTTCCCTACCTATAGAAGATAAAGTTACTTATTTCTGCTCCAAAAGGAACAAAATTGGAAAGGAAGCTATTTGAGTCCTGATCAATCAAACATCTGTTACTTAAGAAACTTGCTAATCATTGTGGCTTCCCCAGCAAGTAGTTGCTTTATCAGTGAAAAAGGTGCACTGATGTAACAGGTAAAATGACAAAATAGTTCTAGTCCTACCAGTAGTGATCGCTAGATTTTATTGTTGCCCTTCTAACTCCTTCTTAGCACGGTTTGAGACTATCTTACTGCTGTTTACTATTTAAAAAAAAGTTTACTGAAATCAGTTTATAAGACTTAGAAGAGCCCTACTATGTACTATTTTCCTCAAAATGGATGTGAAAAATGTTAATTTTATAACTGCATTATTTATCCTGGGTCAATCCTATTGGGATGTCATGTTAATTGCACTTTGTGATTAATAAAAACATTTTTTCTTTCGCTCAGTTTTATGTAGGTCCCTGAACTATAATACACCACATATTGCCATAATCAAATGAGAAACTGGAGATTTAGAAAAATAAGAATTTCATTTTAGTTTTTGCTTTATCATGTGTGTTTTTTAATGGAATGCCATTGGAAATCATTGACTGTGAGTTATTATACATAGATGGTTAACCTCATTGGTTATTTTATTTGGATATAAGCATTCAAGATAAGAGTGGGTTTCTTAGGTTTTTGAGACTCTTACATTTGAGGTAACAAAGATAATGCTTTAAGAAGGCAATTATTCTCTCCTAAGTAATAAAAAAACTAATGAATCCTGAAGGAATGATTTCTGGGAGTGCTCTGAATAAGGAAAAGGAAGTAACCTTGCAAAGATGAGAGAATAGGGACTATAAAAGATTTTATGTTGATAATTTTTATTTTCTAGTAGCTAATTAAAAAATCTAATGATTATGGAAATATAAAAGAGTAGTAAAAGGGAAATGAATTTAAGTAAATCTTAGAAATATGAGTGAATTGTAAATGATGTAAGATCACAAATGTTAATAAAAGTTGAACTTCATATAATTTCTGAAAAAGCTCACAAAAAGATAACAGAAAAGGTATATTTTACTGAAAATAAAGGAATAACTGGAAAAGTAAGGAAGAAATGAGAGAAAATTATACACCAGGACCTGAACTAGAAATGAGTCTAAGGGAAACAAGTGTAAATATCTAGCCAATGAAGAATTGAGGTGGAGAAGTGTCTTAGTGGCTTCAGATTGCTATAGCAAAGTATCAGAGACAGGGTAGCTTATAAACGACAAAATTTTATTTCTTTTTAAAAAAATATATACTTTTATTGATTTCAAAGAGGAAGGGAGAGGGAGAGAGAGAGAGAGATACATCAATGAAGAGAACCATTGATTGGCTGTCTCCTGTACACCCCCCAGTAGTGACCAAGCCCACAACCCAGGCATGTGCCCCTGACCAAAATCAAACCCAGAACCCCTCAGTCCACAGGCCAACCAACGCTCTATCCACTGAGCCAAACCAGCTAGGACTGAAATTTTATTTTTTTACAGTTCTGCAGGCTGGGTCCAAGATCATGCTGCTGGCAGATTTAATGTCTGATGAGAGCCGTTTCCTCAGACCAGTTTTCTCTTTGTAACTTCACAAGGTAGAAGGGATGAAAGCTTTCTTGGGTTTCTTTATATAAGGGCACTAATCCCTTCATGAGGCTCTGTCAAGGCCTCCCAAAGTCCCACTTCCACATACGTAAGCATATGTGTGTGGGGAACACAAACAGTCTACCAGCAGCAGCCACTTTCCACAGTAAGGTACCAGGAAAACTAGTTTATATTGAATAATTGATGGTGGAAATAGATTAAAAAGTAAGAGAAAGTTGCGATATCAAATTCCATTTGTCAAAGAGGTGTGTGAAAGGAAAGGGGAAAGGTGAGGGGACTATTTCTTAGATCCTAAGAAACTTCTTTACAATATGAAGGGAAAGGAAAGGATCCTTGGAAGACCCTAGAGTTGTAAAGGAGACTGGTCATGAAGGAAGAAAATGCCTAGAAAGTGGGTTGTGCGCTAGGAGGTAAATCCAGATAAATTTGTGGTCCTGAGTAAGTGAAGGAGGAAAAATCTCACCTGTAATTTCCACAAAAGGACAAGGGCACTAAGTTTTCTCAGCATCCTGTTTGCAGAGCATACAGGGAACAAAGGCTTCTGGAAGTTGTGGCCCTTGTCATTTCCCTTTGTTAATCCAGTTCTACCTCAATTGTGCTCTTCCCCACAATAGCACTGATTTCCAATCTTGAGTCAAAACCCAAGTTGGTTTCTTAGAAGAGAAGCCTCAGTCAAAGGGGCTTCTCTAATCTTACCAGCAATTCCCGAGTAGCAGAGCTTTCTGTTTGGCCTCCTCAGAGGCTGGCCTTTGCTACTAAGCTTAGTTGGTGTCCACTTTAGTTTCTCTAAAGCACATGTGTCAAACACAAGGCCCGCAGGCCAAATCTGTCCCGCCAGGCCTTGCAATGTGGCCCGCACCGCGCTGTCATCACTGCACTCCGCTGCGTTTCCATCACAATGACAGTTTATGACTGTTCAGTAAACCATTCGGCCCGCGATTTAGGCTGGATTTTAGATTTTGGCCCCTTCTCTGATTGAGTTCGACACCCCTACTCTAAAGGAAAGGAAGGTAAAGAGTCACTGGTCTAGACAGGTGCACAGCAGCCTTTACCCAGCAGATGGTGCTGTTTCTCCAGAGACTATCAAATGTGAGGCCACCAGATACAGGGATGAGGCTTTAAGAGAAAAACATCTAATTCATTTATCTTTAAAAGGCAATAGGATGATATTTTAGGAGTCAGAGTAACTTGGAAAAATGGACAGTAATACAGAGTGAAATTCACCCACTAATATTCCTCTTCCCCCTTCTCTAATTCTCATTTTCTTAAAAAGTGATTTTTAGCCCTGGTTGGTTTGACTGCTTCTAGGGGTGTCGAACTCAATCAGAGAAGGGGCCAAAATCTAAAATCCAGCCTAAATCGCGGGCCGAGTGGTTTACTGAACAGTCATAAACTGTCATTGTGATGGAAACGCAGCGGAGTGCAGTGATGACAGCGCGGTGCGGGCCACATTGCAAGGCCTGGCGGGACGAATTTGGCCCGCGGGCCTTGTGTTTGACACATGTGGAGGGTTAGCCTACAGACTAAAAGGTCACCGGTTCAATTCCTGGTCAAGGGCACATACCTTGATTGCAGGTCCAATCCCTGGCCCCAGTCAGGGTGCGTGCAGGAGGCAACCAATCAATGTGTCTCTCTTACATAGGTTTTTCTCTCTTGCCTACCCTCTACTCTAAAAGCATCAAGGAAAAAGTTTCCTCAGGTGAGAATGTAAAAAAAAAAAAAAAGATTTTTGGAAAGCCAGTTTTTCTAGCTGAAGTGTAAAAAGGACTTGTTTTTAGGTGTTTAAACTTTCCACCAGAGCACAAAGTTGAATTAATATATACCAAAACAGTTTATTATCCCACCACTCATTCCCTGATGGCAAAATGCTATTATCTTAAACCTAATTTAAGAATAATTTGTAGTTTTTGCTAATATATTGCAGTAACTCTAATAGAAGTAGACTTCACCTTCCTTAAGATTTAACTCAAATTGTTCATTCAAATATTGACTAAGCATCTATAGTATAATGTGCCCTGGATCTGCTGGGAAAATAATGTAGAGTGATTTTTTCTAGGGGGTTGCTGAGAAGGTAACATCTAATCTGAATGACATAAAATGTAAGGAACTAGAAGGAAGAGCATTTCATGAAGATGGAAAGCCATATGTAAATATCTAGGTGCATATTCGGTATATTCCATAATCGTAATTGAGAGAAGGCCAGGGGCTGGATGCCATAAAAAAAGTGGGCAGAGCCAGATAGGGCTTGACCATGATAAAGTTTGCTCTGTGTTCCAAGTGTGGTGGGAAGCCACTGGAGAATCCTGTATAAAAAAGAGGCGATATGTAAATTGACCATCACTCCAACACACAAGATGGCCTGCAAGGGAGGGCAGATGTGGGTGATCAGGCCTGCAGGGGAGGGCAGTTACAGGTGACGGGCCAGCAGAGTAGGGCAGTTGGGGGCAACCAGCCCTGCAGGGGAGGAGAGTTGGGTGGGGGGAGGGGGTGTGTGCTCAGACCTACAGGAGAGGACAGTTTAGGGTGATCAGGCCTGCAGGGGAGGGCAGTTGGAAGGGGTCCAGGCCTGCAGGGGAGGGCAGTTGGGGGGGGGAGGGGGTGTGTGCTCAGACCTACAGGAGAGGACAGTTTAGGGTGATCAGGCCTGCAGGGGAGGGCAGTTGGAAGGGGTCCAGGCCTGCAGGGGAGGGCAGTTGGGGGGGGGGGACCAGGCCTGCAGGGGAGAGCAGTTAGGGGCAACCAGGCTGGCAGGAGAGGGCAGTTAG